TATATATATATATATATATATATATATATATATGACCTAAAAGAATGACTTCCATCAAATGCTACTTATTTTAGCAGCACATATGACTTACAATAAAAACAACCCACCCATCCTTCCCATGTAATAATATTCATCTATGTTTAATAGACTTGTACTTTAGGATAGTGAGGCACATAAAGATTTGTCCTGTATTAGCTCTTTAGTGGGAATAATTAGTTACAAATTGGTAGTTATTTGCTCCTAACTCCTTTTGCAATAACTAAGGAATAATTTACACTGCAGTTATAACTTGACAAGGGTAACAGCATCCCGTTTGCAGTATGGTTTTTAAGGTTACCTTTGGGGCTTGGCCTCACTCATTGATAGAGGAGGAGTATCACATGGTTCAAGTGCTGTTTTGTATGGTGCTTTTTGCTCCACTGTGGATATTGAGGTAGTAATGACATTTACAGGAAGAGAATATATTTTGTGCAGCTTGTAGCAGATTTTTTTTTAAAAGTAAGTAAGAGTAACAATTTTGTCACCTTCTATAAGTAGGAGTTACCTTTACAATGTGATACCTTTACAATGTAATAGCTACAATTGGGGTTTGAGAACTATAAATAATGGCCAGTATTCTAAATCAGCTATTTAATATACTTAGCTGAGTAAGTTCACATGGCTTGACCTCACCCCCAAAACCTGACAGAAACATCATTCACCCATGGTCTGATCACTGGCAGAATGGACCTCTTTCTCCTCATGCAGCTGAGACCCTGTGAAGTAGGTTGGGGCAGGAGAGTTACAATCATGGCAATGGTATCATAATTGTAACTAACTAGTAACCATGAATAGAAAAAATATATATAGAGATGACTACATCTAAGTAACTGTTCCATATCCGATCACTTCTTCGTTAAGTAGAATACTAGTCACAATTAATGATGTTTTAAAACTGATTCCACAAGCTTTTAGTAGAACTGTGAGCCAGAGTGGAGTAGAGGTTTGAGCACTGGAGTATGACTCTGGAGTCCAGGGTTCAATTCCCTGCTAAGCCATGGAACTCCACTGGGTGGCCTTGTGTAAGTCTCACTCTCTCAGCCTCAAAGGATGGCAATGGCAAATCCCCTCTGAAGAAACTGGACAAGAAAACCCATGATAGGTTCACCTTAGAGTCACTATAATTCAAAAATGACTTGAAGGCACAACAACAACAAGGTAGAATTCCCTCCCACACTTTTGACCTGAGAGCAGTACTGTTACAATATTCTTCATTTATGGCTCTTATCTCATAGTTTGTAATGCACAGGCATTAAAATAATACAGAGAGTTTACCCACATACATAAGCATCTGGAAAATATGTCTCTATTAGTATTTGATATTTGGAAATTTTTTGAAAATGTGAATATGTACAAATTAAGTAGTTTTTTTTACTCTGTTTTCATCAAGGATAGAACTCTATGAATGTAATCCAAGTTTCCAATATCTTATTAACTTGTATCCGACTCAGAGCAGCATACTAGCCCCCTATGTTTTGCTACCATGTTAGCTACACAGCCAATAAATTTTTGCCTGAATGGACCTGGAGAATTGCTTATCGATCTTACTAGTTAAAAGCCCATGAAATGAGAACATTGCTGCCTCTTTAAATTATTTCAGCAAGCTTTTGCTAGTGGCATTTCAGTAAGTGCCAGACAAAGGGAAATGTCTTCTGTTGTTTGCTTTTGTTTCTTTTTAAAAAATAATAATCATGCTGTAAGTAGAAGTTCTTTTTTCAGAGGCATCTAATTAGGAGAGTGCAATAGTGAGTCAATGCAAATGTTGCCCACAGAGCTGCCACTGAACATCATTCATCAATTCCATGCAGAAAATGTACCATCTGTTTCCCAAGACACCACTGATTTAAAGTAGAATGGGAATGGCTCTACTTTAATAAAACAACAACGTCTGTTTAAAATGAACCCTCCTATGTGAGGAAGACTTAATGCACAATTCTCAAGAACTTTGTACATTATGCCCCCCCTCTCGAGGAAATTAATTGAAGTGCAAACTTTCCAATCTTATCAAATCACAGAAATTTTAGGTGGAGTGAATTTCAAAAGTCCCCTGTGCAATTGTTAGAGGGAAAAGAAAGAAAGACCTTTTCAAATACATTACAGAGTAGCGCTTGTGTGAGTGTGTGTTAAGAAACACTTGGGAATAACTGAAGGGAGGCAATCCCATCACAGCGAACTCTGCAATGGAAGGAGGGGGGCTTTTGGAGGAAAGAGTCTGTAAAAAGATCTGTTGAGTCAGTTGAAAGAATTCCTTAAGAGAGAATCAGTTAAGAGGTTTGGAGTGGACACAGAGAGGGTTTTGAACTAATAGAGACTGAATTTTGGATTTGAACAAGAAA